TTGTATAAGACCTTCAGGATAAAATGAGATAGTTTACTAGCCGGTATAATGACGTTTCTAAATTTCAAAAATATGGGCTGATAGACTGATGATACCGATTTCAAGAGAAATGTAAAAAATGAGTAATAATCGCTCATGGAAGAAGAGTTGAGAATCCTTAGAGTTAGAAGACACAGGAAACCCGTTTCGTTCTACATTGGAACTTTCTATCTGTACACAATTATAATCGTACAGAAGATCAAAAGAGTTACAGACTTCAAAGGGACTAGAGCTAAACGATAAATTCACTTAAGTAAAAAGAATACGAAATAGGATCACACATTCGGAATTGATGCAACAGTTCAAAATAAAATAAAAATAAGTTTTTTAACATTTTTAGTTATTAATAATTTCGGTACTATAATCTGGTGATTGCTAAGTATATTAGATAGTCGGAGGCAATCAGCCAGAGGCAACCTTGTTTGTTCTAGTTTTCGTGCTAGTTGACACTCACCAGTCAGCAAGGCGTATCTGCAACCTTGAAGGCGCTCATGACCCTTCTGAGAGATTTGAACCCACGTCACCCAGTGAGGCTGCAGTCAGAGACGTTACCACTGAGCTATTCGGACTAGTGGCTGACCTCCTGTAGGACTATAGTGAGTAGTTTGATTGGACACTAGTAACTAGTGTGACGTGTCTAGTCCTTCAAGGTTGCAGATACGCCTTGCTGACTGGTGACTGCTGACTAGCACTAAAACTAGGTAAGACAAGGCTTCCTGCCGATTGCCCCCGACTATCTAATATCATCAAATCAATGTGCACCGTGATGGCGAGCTACCTAGAATGGTGGTGGTCACATTGCAAACCTGACTGATAGAATTCAGTCTGCACCAAAGACAGGACTAGACACATCACACTAGTTACTAGTGTCCATTAAAAATTGCTAAGTATTTTTAAACGATGACAATAAATAATGGACATTTTGTAGAAATATTTACAGACACCGCGGAGTATTTATACGTACTCATAGGTTAGAATGAATGATCTTAGTGGAAGTAGGTTTCGTAGTTGAAGACACTCATCAGCAAAGCCTATCTGTGACTTTGGGTGAACTGATGCTTCTGACTAAGATTTGAATCCAGGTCACTCAGTGCTGTATTCAGAGACGCTTTCACTAGCCTATTTGAATTAGAGACTAGACATATGTCACTGGTTACACCCCCAGAGATTGATCAGTGGCGTCTGACTTGTGTTTAGATTCGTAGAAATGTTAGAGCAAGACATATAAGCGAACAGTATTGTTTTCAATTAGTTCTTCTTCAGGTTTTACTGTAATTCACACAGATTTATATATAAAAATTTTAACCAATGACAGTGATTTTGTGGATCAAATAATAATAATAATATGGTAAATGTTTTAAACGTAGTTAGTAAAGATGATTATAATGATAACAAAATATTGATAATAAGGTTTATGCAGGTGGCAATAAAAATAAAAAAGATAGTAATATGAGTATATGTAGACAATTCAATAAATAAACAAATTAGGTCAAATCTTAAAAGTTACGTAATACTAAGGGTGGAGTGGACAGATAATCAGAGTTTAAATAAATATCATTACTACAAGAAGGAAATGGAAAATAAAAAAAGGGTGGGAGAGTTTTAATTAGAATTCACCTAGGCCAACGGAGAGACAAAAGTAGAACAAACTTCTTTAGTTGTAAGCAAGAACTAGGATTGTTCTCTCAATTCACCCCCCCCCCCCAATAGCTTCAGCCATGTGTAGAAGGCGGGTTTGAATTCCGTTCGAAAGGTTCAATGAAATGAGATAGATAACTTTGAAGGCACTATTTTTATCCACTTGGTGACCGCTATCAATCAAATGAGCCAAAATAGAGCTTCTTATAGATTTTATTTGGCATTTTGCAAACCATGAAGGAAGATGCTCATTAATACATTTGACAAGCTGTCTAGTTGTTCGCCCCATATAGCTATCTCCACAGAAGCAACTAGATTTGTAGATACACACAGAAATGTGTTTATAATTCACTATTTGAATTTGCATTTTTACCTATTTTAAGGAAAATCAGTTTCATCAGCTGTAGTTTGAGAATAATGAATTCATAAGCACTGGATGTAAACTATGCCGCAGTTATGCGCAGACTTCCGAAACTATAGTGACTACTTTTTAACCTTATGGAAATTATTATTTCCCTTGACTTTTTTAATAGCTCATAGTGTATAGATGCGCCATGTGCAGCTAATTATCGGAATTAAATATGCACGGATAATTGAACTTCTGTATTCAGCAATAGCAATAATTAAAATCCTTAAATCTACACTTTTCGTATACAAAAGTAAACAGGGATTTATCCGCTGATGCTTCTTTATATACATTTTGTGCCAAAGACGATAGGTAACTTAAAGTCTTCACTTACGTTTGATTTTTTGCTGGAGTAAAGTGAAGTTCAAGTTAGACAGCTAGTGAGGCGAAGAAACTATTGCTAATTTTGTTACGTTGATTTTTCCTTTGATCTTGCATTACTAACTGGCATAACTACGTTAGTGATGATAGGACACAAAACATACTTCTCATTTAATTCCATTTTAGATTTTCCCGTCGATTGATTGGACCGAAGTGCTTGGTCTCAGGCTGAAATGTCGGCTTCTTGCGCAGATGCTTTGACGATATCCGGGTATGTAATTAGAAGTTAATTGTTGGATGGTGACTAGCAATGGAATCCAGGATGCGCATTTCAGCCTATTTGGGACTCGTCAGTTGAGTGTACCTGTATTCCGCAGTGAGTCAGTGATGGTGTTCCCAATGAGGCTGTCGTGACCCAAGTGGTCTAGTGGATAACGCTATGGTGTTTGAAGCTATGGACGCTGAGTTTGGGTCTCGGTGGGAGCACCATCACTGACTCACTGTGGAATGCAGGTACATCCAACTGTCGAGTCCCAGATAGGATGAAATGCGCATCCTGCATTCCACTGCTAGTCACCATCCAACAATTAGCATACTTCTCATTTCAAATATAATCATTTACATACAATGAAGTCTCTTTTCCAATGCTTTTGATGGTACTTTAGAGTTTACAAACTTTGTTTAACAGTTTATAACATCCATTCAAATCTTTTTTTCTGGTTTTTATCTTGTTGAAGACAATTCAAACAGCAATGTTTCAGTATGGAATGTGTTTTACAATGGCTATAAAGGTAGATTAAGCGTTAATACATGAGTGCAATTAGTTAGTAACATTTGTCTGGCTATATCAAAAAAGCCATTGAAACTAGGCAACGGGCTATCTTACTTCGGTTGTTCTATGTGACAGCTGCCACAGTTAAAAAGATATTTTCCACAATAATACGAATCATACACTGTTTTTTTTAAATCAGTAACTGAAGACTTAGAATAAATAAAAATGTAACGCACCAATAACTTTTTTATTTTAATTATTAAACCACATAAAATTAACTAAGTAAATATTCTTCAAATAAGTCAACGCTTATAGCTACCTTCCGACAACTTTTAACCAAATTAAAATCACTCGGAAAGCAGCTGACGACAATTTAAGTTATTTGAAAATGTGCGCTAAAAGTCTAGTTTATATCGTTACATCAGCGATGAGGTGCTTGAAACAATTGAAAAATTGCCTAGGTATACGATCAGATTGAGTGTTTGTTCATGGTGTTGAATAACAGATTGCAGATCTCTGCTCACCGACTCCCCTATGTTCCTATACACAGATGACTTAAAAATTTGGAGAGAGCTGAAGAGCAACAGTGATACGTCCACGTTGCAAGAGGACCTCAACAAATTGTCAGACTGGTCCATAGAATGAATGCTCCTGATAAATGAGGCAAAATGTGCAACCATGAGCAATGGACAAGCAAGCACGAGCTCCTACGAACTAGAGGGAATAACACTTCCATCAGTTCAGACTCAATTGAACGTAGGTGTCATAGTTAGCCACGACTCAAAAACTACAGCACACTGTCGCGCGGTGGCTGCACGTAGTTACAGGTCCCTATGGGCAATTCTTAGAGCCTTTACTAGAATCACGAGAGATCTGCTCACCTCATTATATACATCTCTGGTGAGATCAAGATTTGAAAACTGCATTCAGGCCGCCAGTCCTTTTCTAAAAGGGAACTCATTCATTCTAAAAAGGGTTCAAAGGAAGGCAAAACGTGTGGTTCACTGCATGACTAACTTATCATACGATGGAAGACTAGACAGTTTAAATCTCTTCTCTGTGGCATACCGTAGGCTACGGACCTGACCTTTTATCTCTTTTTCTTCCCACCAGGTCGGACCACCTTAAAAGACATAGCAGTAGAGTTCAAATGCCAAGAAGAAATCATATTGCTGTTGAGTACTGGTTCTCACACCGAGTCATAAACTTTTGGAACCGACCTCCAGAAGAAGTGATGTCTGCAACCTAAACTGATTCGTTCAAGAAGGATTTGAACAACCACAGAAATTTACTAGAAAAGGATTAACATAGGCCGCAAGCCTTATATCCTCAACCAATAAATCTGAATAAGTGCAGCTGAGATGGTAGCTGATAGCTATGACTGCTAAAAAGCCGCGGATTTATACTTTTGGGAAGTATAAAAGCTGGTTTTCAAAGTAAATGTTTTTGAAAGAATAGGAGAAAGTAATTTTTCCAAATTTCTTGACTTTATCATTCAAACTACTTTTTGATTAGTTGTTTGTTTACAAGCACTCAAATGAAACTTGCACGACAGAATAATTAATTTATGATTGAAATTTTACTAGTCAAAAAAAACTATTCATCATTTCAAATGACCACTTAATGATTGTTTAACGTCAAATACATAAAGATCTGAATATTTTTCTGAGACAATAAAACATACAATTTTGAGGATTTCAACACAGTTATACCATCTAATTACTGCCATTGTTTAACTTGAAGGCAAAAATCAGTGCGTGGACTACAAATACAAGAAAGTATATACCTGCTTTTATTTACGCATCATTTAAAAAAAGGACTTACTTTGTTAATGCTTTCAGTGAAGATGTATATAATGTACCGCCAACATCAATGTGTACAGGAGCTGAGTATTTAGTAAGGATGGCTGGTTGGGGTACACCAAGTTTAGCCCATTGTAATGTCTTTTTGTTAGTAACATCATGTGGCTTAGAACTTTGTTGCTGTTGTTGTTGTTGTTGTTGAGGTGTATCTTGCTGTACTACTGGAAAATGTTTTTCATTTTCACATTTAAATGTGCTTTCTAGTTTTCTGCTGGATTCAGAAAGATGCTGTTCATCACTTTTAAGCATTCTATTTGTACTAGAATCAATATTTGGCAAACTGTTCATATTTATTAAATTGTAAGTTTCAGCATAAGATGTTAGGTTGGCATTCGTCGTTATTTTCGATGATGATACACTCGATAAATGAGAGTTGTTCAGTGTACCAAAACTTGATGTCACCTCAGGTAATAATAACTTGCTGTTGTTGTCTTGATATTCTTGATATTGTCTTTCTTCACTGCACAACTGATAAGGTTTATTAGGACTCCATGTTGTCATATTATTAATATTATTATTATTATTAATGGTATCATTTGGAATGACAGATTCGGTTGTATCAAAAGCAGTTGTAATTTTAAGAAGATTATTAGCCGATTCAGAATTTATTGTATTTATTTGCTGATATTGTTGTAATCGACTGATCAGTTTGATGATCACATCATCATTCAATATTCCTTGGTTAATCTTGACAGAATTATCTTGATTAAGATTATCATTCACTGGAACGCATTCATTATTATTTCTATCTTTACTTTCAACATAGTCTTGCAGTAGATTTGAACTAAGGGAGTTAATCCAGTTTAATTGAAGTATATTTTGAGCATAGGAAGCTGTCTGTAGTAATTTTAACAATTCTGTTGTCTTTTCTGTAGATAATTCATTTGTATGCATTGTTGTGTTAGGTGGTGATTGCAACGACTGTACTGATGATAAGTATTGTGTTGTCTGTGCAGATGAAGTTATTTGTTCAGGGATCATCATGTTCTATATGATTGGGAAAAAACACTTACTGTTTAAATTTTTATTGGATAGCATCGAAAATCCCAATAGACTTAATGGGTAAAACATTTTGTCTACTTTATTTAAGTAAAATTTAGTCTACTCTATTATCTGTCGCTTGTGCATCTTGTCATCTATGTAATGAATCTGACAATAGCAAGCAGGTTGTAATTCAGTTTCATTGAAAAATATAGTGTATTGTAAATGTTCGTAGAAAAAAAGTATCAGTTTATCTTGAGTTATTCAGCAGCGCTGGTACCTAATTTTAAGGATTTACGACAGTTACAGGATACTGCTATGTGTCTCAAGGTTATTTTCTTATTTGCTAATAAATTAGCATAAAAAGTTTCAAAGAAGCGACACAATGCTTAATAAAACTGGTTTCTTTAGATCAGTATTATCGGCTATGAGCTAGTTAAGATCGACTTGTTACAGGATTTCATCATGAGCTGACATTAGTTAGAGAACCATTCGGAAACCTGCAAGGAGTACTCGACAGCTGTTTCATCAGCCTAGTTTGAGACTCTTCACAGTACGCACCCACTGACAGAGTTCGAACCCAGAACCTTCTGGTTACAAGATGAGCTCGTAGACCATTAAGCCACTGGAACCCGATCCATTGGCTAGCCCATGAATTCCAATAGTGCAACCGGTAGCCAATGTCTTTGGCGAGTATTTGTCCTCACAATCGACCAGCTGCACCCTACTGGTCACGACTTCCCCCTGGAATATAAGGTAACTACCTACTTGAATAAGGCCAGTCGCCAGTGAGCATGTCATTGATATTCAAGTATTGGTTTGTAGGAATTTGGTTGATTGGTTACAGGATTTCATCATGAGCTAACATTGGTTAGAGAACCATTGGAAAACCTGCAGGGAATACTGGACAGCTGTTTCGTCCTAGTGATCAACCAAATCCCTACAAACCAATACTTAAAATCGATTTCCTGATATTAAAGATATATTACTTCGACAATAAATTTCTTACTTTCGATATTAAGCGATCAGGGAGAATTCCAAATATCGTAGAAAAATTAAATAAAGTACACTATATGTTAAATTTCGCGAACCTACCTGTTCCATTCTCCAACAGGTAATTTATATTGTAAGCGAACACTGGAATTCTGTAATTTTAGTTATCCAGTGCAACTGCAACTGAACTTTGAACTTCAAGGAAGGTGGGTATTGTTAGGAAAATAAACCATGAGAGTTTACAGTGAATCACACAAGCACAATCTCAGTCATCTAGTAAAGTACGGAAGTTTTGCACGTACATATATATATATATATATAATAACCAACGTGATCTTACTGACATCCAATACGAAGTGATCACCTCAAGGCATTTCTCATTATTTATGTATGTATGCGTGTGTGTGTGTGTGTGCATGTAAGGACGCAGAGATGAATAAGGCATTCATTCATTCTTAGATGCTTGCAGAATACAAAATGCGAATAATGGTGGCTTACACACACAAAAAATGAGAGGTAAAATGCTACGGAAATAGAAAAAATGCTAGCCTAGGTTAGTTAGTTAACAAGGACATAAAGCAATTATGCTATGTGACAGAGTGCTTGAATGAGATGTTAACCCGAAGTTTACCTTTAGGCTAGTTTCATAAGTTACAGTTAATTAGCCTGAGGGGATTTTAGATAAAGCAAACTAAATTAAAGAAAGAATGGGATTGTGTGTGAATATTCTTTGAAAGGCTACATACAGAAGAATAAACACAAACAAGAATACTGATAACAAAATAAACAACAAAATAACAAAACAAAAGTTATTGTTCTTAGTACGCACACACACACACACACACACACACACAGAGATACGAATGCTAAGAACTAGTAAAAAGTAAAATTATTTTTAAAAATTAAAATAATTTTAGAAATAACTGTACTCATTATAAGCGTAGTTGGATACAAAGAACATTGAAAAATAAGAGAAAAATTGTAATTACTGATAAAAGGTTAAAAGGTATATCCATTATGTTAATTTTGTCAGTTTCAGTTAAATGTAAATTCCAGTTTCTTTTATTTTTTTAAACTTTTTAACCACTTTGTTTCTGTTGTACTCTCTAGTTAAAAATGGAAGATTCTGGATTATACAAGTGAAATAATAATTTTGCAAAATTTACTTATCAAACAATAGAAAGCCAAGCGTTTTGAAAAGAACCTGAGCTTATCATTTCAAAATGGTTCTGATGCGTGTAATTTTCAATCATATATGATTGAATTGTATCTATCAATTCAACTGCGCTTGTGGTGCCAGTTATATTGACTGTCGCTCTAGAAACTTGATTTTTCGTGCTCGAGAACATCTCCCAGCATGACTAAGTAAAGGTGTAGTGCAAACTATTAACAGCTCGATATTAGAACATCTGGTGCAAACAGGCCACAAAGCCAGCGTAGATGAATCCTTCCCTATATTATACCGCGTGCCAAATAAATTAACAAAAACATCGAAGCACTGTAGCCTCCAAACAGCAGAGGCTATTGCGATTCGCCTCAAACAACCAGTACTCTGTGTCCAAAAGAAGCAAGTTCAGCCCCTACTATTGCCCTGGCCTTCAGTAGAAGCTATAAACTTATGAATTTGTAATAATATCCTTCCTAATTCTTTTGACATTCAGCTTATTTTATGTTAATGCGATTCAGCTGTAATCTGTTGATACTATTGATTTGATGTTATTTAAACATTAATGTTGTTCATAACACTAATTCATTCACTATGATGTATATATAACTGTAGAGCCTGATGATGAAGTTATCGAAAAGAGTACTCTTTGTTCATTATCCATTCTTTTGAAAATTTTGAATACACAATATTCAGTGAAGAGATTCTTCCCAACGAATTTATTATCAAGCTGTACAATAGTACATATATGAGATTTTATAAGAAATTATATCCGGTGAGGGAATTAGATCAAAGGTGTGAATACATGAAACAATAACAGTATTAGTATGAAATGCAATTAAAATATTTGTGATCATAATCACAGTTAAATGTCAAGCGGGAAAATAATTAATGTCATATATAGAATAACTCATAAGATGTATAGATGTTGGAAAGGGGTGCATAATTATAAGATTAGTAGGCGAATATAAAACGTTGCATAACATGGTGTGAAATTTATTGAGATAGAATTCAATATTATAAAAAAATTTGGACTTAGAATGACAATTGGGACAAGCGAAAACAATTCAGAGTGAGAATATTATCGATGGTAATAATATTAGTAGTAATAATAATAAATAAATAAATGTCTATCCCTCTACGACCAAGCATGAGTAGGGATTGTACATACTTCTTTTGTACACAAATATTTCGCTTATATTTATGAATGACCAAGGCCTCCGTTGTCTTTAGAAGGTAAAACGAAGAAAACGCGGCTAGTTACGAATGGTTCGGTAAATGATCTTAAAATTATGGTCAGGATTGTTGGAGTAACATGAGTCAATCCAGTGTTCTAGAATAGAGCTTCACACACACTTCCTTTATTCCTAGTAAAACCGTTCTGGAAAGTGTTCTCTGGCCAAGAGCAGGTGAATTGATAGATGCAAATCGAGGCGACGAGACAAGGGAATTTATTATTTACAAAAATGAAGGACAACATGCTGCTGGTGAATGTCATTTGTAATTTTGCTGCAAAGAATGTTTTACTGACAGATTTAAAGAGATGGTTTCTGATCTTTGTAACTTTCCCCCACCCCTTTCCAACACCTATACATCTTATAAATTATTCTATATATAACACTAATTGTTTTACTACTTGACATTTAACTGTGTTTATAGTCACAAATATTTTAATTGCATTTCATACTAATACTATTAATATTTTATGTATCCACACTTTTGATCTAATTCCCTCACCGGATATAATTTCTTATAAAATCCCATATATGTACTATTGTACAGCTTGATAATAAATTCGTTGGGAAGAATCTCTTCACTGAATATTGTGTTCTTAATGCTACAATAGGAATTATTAAATTTTAAGTGACAGGACATGCATTTCACGTGTAAATTTTTAATGAACCTGTTTGATTAATTAGACATTAGCTGAGTGTTGATAAATTTGAAAAATTGTTGGTCATTTTTAAGCAGACATGTAGATAAAACATAACGTGATTATTTCTATTCACTAATAAGTCAAGATATCGCTTTATTTGATGTGAGGAGGGCAATTTTTTATATTTCATAAGATTTTAGAAATTTTCAGATATCTTGCATTTTGCTCCAGTTGTGTAGTAGTACAATGATCATTATTTTGTTCTTTTGCCTTCCGAGTAGAACATACGGCCACTGGTTTGAACTTTGAAATTTCAGTAGCACTGATATTCAGTTTTTACGAGAAGAGATTGTTAGCGTCAGGCTGTACCTTCCCGATTTACTACAGGGTTTACTACCGGTTAGGAGAAGTGCAGGAGTGCGTCGGCTGAGAGTTGAACACCGAACCATGTGCGTGGTTGTGTAGTATTCTATCAGTGAACTAACGACCCATTGGTCACCTGCTTTATGCTAGTCTGTTTTGATCATGACAACTACTATGTTACCAAATAATATTACCTTTTGTGATTAATAGTGTTCTTTGAGCTGGTTGCTTTAGTTGCGGAGCATTCGTCATCCTTCTGGACAACATCCCCGCAATTTTTAGCATAAAGTGAACCGATTTAAATTTTCCATGAGTGATAGAATCGCGTCTCCCTGCAACCATCTTTACATGTGTATTGACCATTTTCTATTGACTTGGGTTTTAAACTTTCTGGTCACATGATTTACTTTTTATTAGTTGGTAGACTTGGTCTATATTAACATGTTTGTTAATTGCTGATTCGTTTGAGTACCAGGCTTCTAGGAATTCCATGACTGCACTTTTGGTGTTTCCTCTGTCTAAAATCTCGACATTATCCCAATCGAAACGATGTCCATAATTGTCTATATGCATTGATACTAAAGAATATATATCGTGTTTTTTCACGGCTGATTTGTGTTCTTGGATTCTAATTCGAAGGGGACGTCCATACTGACCGATGTAATGTCTATTACAGTTCATACAATTTATTTTGTAAATGGTATTAATTTTATCCCCTTTTTCTGTTGGATCTTTCGGTTTGTATAATATCGAATTAAGCGATTTGACTTGTGTGCTTGTGTGTTATATCCATATCCAACGGTTTCAGTATTCTAGCTGTTATTTCAGATATATTTCTCATGTATGGTAGAATGAATTTTCTTGTGGTCTTTGATGATAGTTTCTTTTTGGTGTTTTGGTTCGAATTTAAGCACTTTTTTGATAAAATTTTGTGGATAATCATTCTTTTTGAAGACCGATTTTAGGTATTATTCTTTCATTCTTTTCAAATCTGGAGTTCTACAGTGTGTTTGAACTCTTTTAAAAATGTCTGCACAGTTTATTTTGTAGGTGATTGGTTATTGCTAGTATGGTTGAGTATTTGATTTGAATGCATTGATTTTCTATATACTTGTGTTTCTAAATTTACTGTGTTGGATCTCCTGATTAAGACAGCTAAAAGTGGGATTTTGTTATCTAATTCTTCTTCTACTGTAAATTTGATGTCTTCAAATATGTTGTTTATTAATTTGTGGGTATATTCTAAATCATTTCTCTTAATTATTACAAATGTATCATCAACATAACGTACCCATATTTTCGGTGTAATTATAGGTAGAGCTATTAATTCTAATCTTTACATAACGGCTTCAGCTATTAATCCTGATATGGGCGATCCCATTGGTGTTCCTTTGTTCATATATTTGAGTATTGAATAGAAAGTATGTTGTAAGGCATAATTTTATGAGTTTTATCCAAGTTAAACGTTGCGTTTGTATGTTTTCATCACTATAGAGTAATTGTTGCATAGTTTCTGTTGCTAGTTTTGGACTAATTGAAGTATATAATGCTGTGACATCAAAGGACACCTTTATTTTATTGTCTTCTACATGAATATTTTTGATTTTCTCTAAAAATTGGATTGACAAATTGATAGAATGGTCGCATGATTCTGTTACGTAATTTAATTTCCTGAAAAGTTCTTTAGATAGATTATATGTTGGTGTTCCTGGAAGCGACACAATTAGGGAATGTTTGCTTTGTGTAGTTTTGGTCTACCATTACCTTTTAAAAAAGGATTTAATTTTGTTTTCACTATTCTCCATGAACATGTACAAGTAATTGTGTTGTAGGTGTTAAATGTTTTGTGTTAAATCCGTACATAACCAAATGCAT